TCTGGATGAGCTCTTATCCCCTAAAATAGCCCTATCCATACCAGATGGGGGCACGGTTAAATCTAAAGAATCTGGAACTTGTACTGTTTCACGAAGCTTTCACAAATTCCATCTTTTCTGTGGTTCTTGAGAAATGGGTTTAAATTAACATATTTTCTTGATTATCTACCTTTGGATAACTTGACCCTTTCTTATAATAATTTTACTCCCCTTTACCTAAGAATTAATAGCGAGCATATAGTAGATATATATACCAAGTATGATGATAATGGCCCCGTGGTTAAAGAGAAGTAAAACAAATTAAGTTAATAGAAAAACGGCAATCCGAAAAGCCTACTGAGTGTCTTGGCTCAAGTCAGCTATTAAGGAAATGCAGACCTATTTGTCTTTTATGCTTCCATTCCCCAAACATTGCCATAGTATGGTAATGAACTCCCACGAAGTGAATGTTTTATAACAAATTGCTGTAACTCACGTAACTAAAACCAATAGATAACATTTGTTGCACAATATATGTCTCTAACCATATGGTTTAAGTTTATTTGGAAAGTGGACGACTAAAAAGCTAATCGTAGGAATATGGAAGGAGGCATGTTCTATTTCGGTTATAACGGAATAACGAACACTTTTCAAAATCAACAGCAGAGGAAACATGTACCAACTAAAACATCTGATGTGGGACCAGGTGCAATTGAGGAGTGAGCTACCGATGTTTCTAAATATACCCATTTTGAAACTGTATGGCAGGTGAAAAACATTTTATTTATATGGCTGAGGTAAACAGATACCAGGTAGAAAAAAATATTTTAACTGGCGGCTGTCGCATAAATAAATTGTCGACGGATTTTCCCGCTTTTTCCAAATCAGGACAAAGAGCACACGGCGGGTGTGACCGGTCAGCAGGGGATGCTCACTCCTCCATGGCACCTGGGGCCACCTCTGATGTTTTGGAGGGCCGTGTTTGCTCTGATCCACTGTATTGTTTAATAGACTTTTCAGCTTGAATACTGTACGTTATCTCCATATAATTCATTCATGTAGGTATATTACTAGGTCAAACATTAACTGACGTTTTTTATACTCATTACTTGTATTAGGCCATTATTTACAAACTGAAATTTCTACAGATTCTTAGTTTAGTAGCACAGTGTCGTCGACATGGGAATCTTTCTCTTCCATGGAAGTTCGCGTTTGCTCTGTTCCCGATATGCATCGCTACAATGTCCTTTAAGTTTGAATACTATCGTTCTGTCCATATTTCATTGTTAAGGTGAAAAACATTTTATATATGATGTTGTTTAATAGCGGCTTCATAAATAAATTGTACATGTTTTCGGGTGTGCCAAAAAAATGTTTTGGAGGGCCGTGTTTCTTGTAATTGATAAAGACTGTAACTTTTCTTTAGAATTTCAAAAATCTACAAAGATCAATTAGCGAATATAAATAATGAAAATAGCATATGCATTTAAATGGCTTTTAAAGTGGAACTCCTCTTTGCACGCTATATATCTAATTGCACATTGTAATACTGCAAACTGAGAAAGAATTTAGATTTCATATTGAATCCATGGCATTTATGAACACATACTTTGGAAAAAGGCTTAAATTTGATGTAATTTTAATTCAACCCAGATCGGAGATATATATCTCAAAAATCCTGAGAGTTGGTGCACTCTGGCTTCAGTGTTTGTTGATATTGGACACATCCTGATTGTATTGAGACATTGAATAAATAAAACAAATCATTCTATAAAACAGGTTGTTATAATGATCACCTTATCCATACCTTAATGACCAACAGATATACAATCGTTATTTTAAGAAATCTTTGCAGCATTGATGATTCTGAAAAGAAGAGAATGAAAAAAGCTAATTGTTAATACCACAGATCAAAGACTTATAATTTGTTAGTTATTGCATTATTAATTGGTACTTCTAAATCATTTTAAAACAACTACGACACAATTTCCCGCAATTGCATTTATGTCGTTATCAGTGTATTGTCACTAAAAACAATTATAATATGAAATATTATTTACTAGTGTAAGAAATTTTTTTTCATTTTACAATAAAATGTACTACATCTATATAACTTAAATCGCTTCTATTTTTTTTACTTAAAATTTTGTGGTTCCATAAAGTGACGTGAAAATCGCCGACGATTCAGCATGTAAATAAGGACTAACAATTAGTTTTCGGATCTTTTGGATGAGATCTTAAAACCGAACCCAAGCTCTGTGGCACAGTCTGTGTTGGCCCGATAAAAATATCTCTGCTCAAACGTTTTGTTTTGGGCACATTTTATTGACAAGCAAAAGAATAAGAAACAAGTTCTAACAACTTACTAGTTCTTCTCCTTGGCGCCAGGTAGATATCTAAATTTGAGGCCCTTTACTGGTATACGATGAATAATTCAAACGATTGTTGGAAGACCTAGTCTCCAAAGGATAAAACGATATATAAAGTCATAATTTCGTAAGTTCTATGGTCGATACAGTGACCTTGTTAGCAAATACAATTTATCATTGAGTCAAATTCTAACTGACGTTTCTCATACTAATTGTTAGTTCATTATTTATACACTGAATTGACGACAGATTTTCCCGTCATTTCCCTATCATGATAAGGAGCACACGGCGGGTGTGACCGGTCGGCAGGGGATGCTCACTCTTCCATGGCACCTGATCCCAACCCCGATGATTTGGAGGTCCGTGTTTGCTCTGCTCCTATTTTGTATTGTTTAATGGACTTTTGATCTTGAATACTGTTCGTTATCTCCATATGTTTCATAGTCGGTGAAGGAATAAAGAATTTTGTTTAATCAATATCACTGTTCTTTTGTAAAGGAGTGCTTTTTAACAAAGCAAGTTGGTTGATGACAAAGAACGAGATACTAGTATGAAAAAAAATTCCGAGAATAATTTTCTTAAAAAGCGTAAAAAAGAAAGACCAAATAATTTTGGTGATAAATACCACTTCTTGAACATATTGCTTTTCAAATACCACTTCTTGAACATATTGCTTTGCAATACCTTCACTGACTTTAATATTTTCATGAACAGTAAAGAACGAAATTTGGCAGAACCATTATCAAGAATAAAAAAAACAGCACAATTCTGAAACGTCGCCATTAATTATATATTAACAATGAAATGCAATCGTCTACTTTTTGGAATGAGTGGGCTAAAGCTAGTGATTGACTTTAATGAGCTTAAATATGTCTGGTGTCATCCTCTGATAATGATGTAAAACTGAAAATAACGTTTTCATGCGAGCACAAATTGTTACATTTATTCCTATTAATTTCACTGACCGATTTTAATTTGAAAGCAAATAAGTCGATTTGATTTCATTTCGACTTTTCCAAAACCGAAATACTATTCATTTACTTGAACAATCAAACCTCAGACATGCAGGGGAGAGAAGTAGGTTTTTGAATAACTATTGGAATCTAAAAATGAAGCATTCATTAGACAGCATGTGTTAATTGAATGCTATCAATGAAATATAATGTTCTTTGTGATAAATATCAGACACTCATCGGTGTGTGCCAGTCACTAAGAGAGATTCAGAATTTTTAATCATTTACTTTTGTTGTTTTTTTTATCTTCCAATTTTAGATTGTAGATAACATTTGTTTGTGATATCAATATGAATATAGGAATATCCTAATAAAATGTCCATAAAACAAAATTATATATCCATTAATGTTAGGATCAGTAAATTTAGGACATGCAGTACAAAAGTTTGATTTCTCATGTACTGAAATCTTCTGTATGATAAAGAAGCACGGCCTCGGTATCTAGAACATGATTTTGTTCTTAATGATAGGTCGTATATTAACAAGAAAATCTCATTTAAAAGGGGAAAAATCTATGAAAGCAAATTAATTTTCAGTTATCGGCCAATACTAATATCTAGTAATAAAATACGAATAGTAATCAGACTTAATCAAATGGAGTTTGGTGTTTTACTCCAGTTTTATGCAATCCTTTCGCGTTCCCTTCGAGTCGATAGGGAACTAAAATAGGGTTAAAACTTTAAATATGTTTACGATTTAAATGGTTTCTCCACGAAGGATTTATATGTTTTATTTTATTTATAACTGCCTACTGTTTCTTACCTCAAGTATTTTATTTTTCAAAGATGGAATTTTTTCCTTATGAATACTAACCCATCAGCAAAATCTTAAAACGAGAAACAACGGGTTATTTTCTAAAGAAAAATATCAATATATTTTTATAAAGAGAATATGATTATGACAGTAATCGTATGTTGAGATTAATGTTTAAAAACTGCATCATACTTTTGCTTTGCTTTGGTAAAACAATTTATATATTACACCAATAAAATTGTATTAAGGTTAAATGAATCACAGAGCGAGCAAATGCTACTACTTTATCTGATCATATGAGTTTTATTCATGTTTAGATACCCCAAAGAACATATTTGCATTGACTGTTTTGCTTTGCTTTAGTTAAATGTTATATTGAAGACATACAAATTTGATGCGAACAATCACAATTGACATAATTTCTTCACAGACTTATCTACCACAAGGAATTTTTATTGTAATGTTACCTTCAAATTTACATGGCAATATTTTGTATATTTTTATACACGTTAAATAACTTATATAAAGTTTATCATGAATATATGCATATAACGAACAGGATTCAAGCTCAGAAATCCATTTTACTATATAAATTTTGGAACAGCAAACACGGACCTCTAAAACATCATAGGTGGGATCAGGTGCCATGGAGGAGTAAAAGTCCAGTGCGAAACAGTTAAGACCGTAGTTTGCTACTCATAATGATCGGGAAATGACGGGAAAATAGGTTGATGATGATACAAATTTAACAGTAAAAAGTGAGAGTATTTGGATCTTAAATAATATTGAACATTAAAGATAAGTTAAGCATTTATAGGCACATGGTTTATTGAACGTAAGTAAGTATACTGTACTTTTAAAAAAAAAACTACAATTTTTCATTAACTTTTCAAGTTTTATTATAAAAATATAAGATTATAATGGCTCTGAGTCATTTTAATACAAGAATAATTATAATGAGGAGGCGGGGAACACAAATGTCACACTAGATTACCTGAACTTAAACATGCTCACATTTAAATATAATAAGACATATCATAAATACATCTCTATATACAAAAAGTGCTGCTGATAGACACTGATACATGTCTTTAGCACCTGAGTTTCGCAGCAGTCAGTTTTTTGGAAGTAAAGCTTTCAATACCACGTGTCCCTTCAATATTGTCATCTTTCTTTTTTGCTTTGAGTATATATATTTTTCATATATATATTTTCACAATCCGTCATTTGTTAGAGAGCAGCAGTGGAAATTATTAAGCTACATAAGACGAGAACTATCCAGGGCTCTGTACAATGTCTAGAGACACTATGGTCTTCCTCTGGTGACCCATTATCAGAGGAAATAAATTTCTTTGAATACGTTCCTGAAATACGACAAGAGTATATGCTAGAGTCAAATTATATATCTGGATGATTCTTCATCATATATACACAGTTCTGTATGATTTTTTTTCTAATTTATTAATATATCTATGTCACAATATTTTTACTGTAAAAATAATTTGTTTGTGATTTTTTTAATAAGAGAAAGTCTTCAATCATTGAAGACATTGAATCATTGAAAACATCTGACAATCTAATTAAACATACAAACCTCTCTTAACGTTTGTTTTGTCATCTGAAAAAATATGATATATTTGAATTAATAAACTCTATCTTGATCATTTTTGTCTAAAACATTTTATTCATTACGTATGAATAAGCGCAAACAGCAGATATAAAAGCTTATATCCTAATTATTGATCATTATTTAACTAATACTTTCTGAAATTTCCAGCAATGAAACCAAACTGTACTTTTTACCTTTGCAACAACAAAAAAATGTTTTATATAGTGTCTTATATATACATGTATTAATAATATACTTAACGAAACATTGTAATTGTTTATTTTAAAAACTATACTAGTATATGTTAGCCTTACCACTGAGAACATTAACTTTTATATTTGTCACCAGTTTATCGGACGTCCGACAAATATATGTTCCTCCATGATTCATACGCGCATGTTCAATGACAAGTTCGCTCCAAATGGTCCTGCTTTTGAGTGACACTGAATTGGTTATCTTAATTCCTTCGTCTGGGTCTGTAAGAATCTTGAGACCGTTCATAAACCAGTCTAGCTCATCTGGAGGGTACGAATCACTCGAGGCATTGCAAAGGAGAACTATTTTCTCGTTTTTGTTAACATAAGTATCACCCGTGATATGAATTGCTGAAATGAAATTTTAAACTACATTTAAAATACCTTTTGTGTGTATCTAAAAATGTGTTAAACTGAAAAAATCCATATTCTATTGTAATTATCAGTTTAAAGTACTTACATGATGTTTGCTCTGAAAACGAAAAAGAAAAGTAATTAAATTTTCATCATTTTGAAGTTTTCTTTTCCTTAATAGTGAGAGAAATGTTGGTTAAAAGGTCTGAAAGTATTGGAACGTTGATATTAAGGTCTTCAATCCATAATAGGAACAAATTCAATGAAATTGAAAACATAACAGATATGTAGACATTGAATACTCAGTTTATTTAGACATATTTCCCATTTATTACTATAAGTATGTATAGTGGGATGTGTTCTGATTCATGACCTTGAATTTTGGTAAGAGTTATTTCCCCTTTTTTAAATTAATTTAAAAAAATCAATTTAAAAAATTTTAGCCAGTAAAAAAAATATTTTTAATCGTCATTCTATTTTTTATGTTTCAATGCATCTTTCCACCGCAGGATTTTTTGATATTCAAATCATTTGAATTTTTATCATGAAAAAACGCTTTTCCCCATAGACTTCAATGCAATCTTTGTTAATTAACTACTGCTTAATTAATGAAATTTTTGAAAATTTCTCGCGGGCAATCCTTTTCCACTATAAAATGCTTTAATATAATATCAGAGTATTGTGTACTTGATGGACATTTAAGGGTAGAGAATTTGGTCCCATTAGGGATGGAAATCCTTAAGGACGTTCGATCCTGATATTTTGAGCGTATTTCGCGCAGGTCCTTTATTCATAGAAATAAGCATCATTCTTAGGTTCTAACAATAAAACTGAATTCTACAATGCAAATTAAACTATATTCAATGAAAAAACCGCGATTAAATTCCATTCAAGTAGAATTAAGGTAGGGACTATATTTTGTGGCGGAAGGTTTTTTAGACGAAAATGATCAGTTTTTTCCATTTGAACTATAACAGTACTGTTAATTTTGGATGCCTATTTTTCCATGCTGGTTGCACACAGACCTGTTTTTTGCAGTGAAATATGTTATGCTGGTTCTGGAATATCTATTAAATTATTTCTTATTAATTCTATGACACTTTTTTAGTAATATCTGAAAATGAACATCATATACCCCCACTTTTGATGTTCTTTTCTAAATATTCAAGATAACTTTGACCTATTTGCTTGAAATCAGAAAAAGTTTAAGACTTTATAATAATTTTCTTGCTTATTATATTTTCAATGCCGGAAAAATAAATTTTATTAGTGCAGAAAGGTCAAACAATTGATAATGCGAAGCAGTTTGAAACTTTTTCTTAGTCACCATTTTTAAGTGTCTTTTTTTAAACAGACGGAGAGTTCATTTTGTTTCATGCTTTAATTGGATAAAAATATTGGAGGGAAAACGTCAAAGATGTAATTTTTAATTAAGACACAAATTTCAGTGCAGAAAGGTCATATTAAATGTACTGTAGCGCTAAAAGAAGCATATTGACCCCCATTTTTTGATTTAAATTTTGATTAAGCTATGTATGTAGAAACTAAAAATATACTTGGCAAAAAAAGTCTAAGACTTTAAATATCAGGATCGAACGTCGTTAAAATACTAACCCCTGACTGACAGAAAAAACGCCCTCCTGATGTCGCGTGTCTTCGTGCTGACTTGACACTCGTACCCTCCAGAATCCTTCACACTAACATTCCTAATATGTAAATTCCATTGTTTCTTGTGTATCACGTGATGAGTTTGAAATCTTGGGTCGCCGTAGTACGTAAAAAGACCTACGGTCAGAGGCACGGACGGCGAGGCTTTCCTCCAGGTCACCTAAATATGGTAACAAAAACATACGTTGCTATATGACTTCTTTCAGAATCTGAATGTCATATGAATTGTATTAAAATTGTATATACTATCAAAAGATGTGTTCTTGTGTATGGACCTAGAGTTTTATCTCAAAATATTCAAAAAATGATCTAAAAATATTAATAGTGTGCTACCCATATTTTTTCTTAACTACCTAAACCCTTGTGAAAAATCGTAATATTAGTAATAGCTGCAATTAACCCTTTACATCTGTTTGATTGAATAGCTGAAAGCAAGCGCCTTATGTTTTAATTCGGTACAATTTCAGACCTGATAAAAATCTTATTTCATAAAACATGAATGAGAACAAATGAATGTACACTTTTTTGTTTAAACTTTCCTATGCATGTATCTTGTTACCTTCGATGGAATCTTTGGAATACTTTAATAGTTTGAAAACCTTGAAAAATCTTTAGTAATTTTACTTTTTAATCAACCAGAATCTATATTTTTACACAGAGAGCAAACTTATAATCATAGTAAAACATTACTAAGCACACCGATATAAAATATATAAAAGTTATATAACGTAGGAGTTTAATAAAGACTTACGGTTTTGGTTCCCAGATTCCTAACAGCACAATACAAAACTGCAGTTTCACCGGCTATTGCCGTGTAGTTAGTAATAGTGGTGTTCAAAATGACCGGTTCTAGGGGGACAAACTGATTAGAAAAGGGGATTCTCCGACGAGAGCCTGAAAACAGACAGAAATAAGCATTTCATGAATCTTAGTGTCGTTATTATGACCTTGATGGCAAATATAACTTATCATATATCATTAGGTCGAATATTTGGACTGATTTATTATTAGGCCTTTGTTTCAACTACATTGACTGGATGGGTGCGACGGATTATTAGAAGAATGCTTTCTTCTTCAAGGCACATGATCCCATATCTGGAATTTCAATTATTTGTCTCTTTTGCGTGTTTGTAAAAAAAGGCACTTTTTATTGACTTTTGTCATATAGCATGTAAACTTTTGCCATTTAAACATTACTTAAAATATTTTTTGAAAAGGATATTTTATTTTAAACAAAAAATAAAAACGTCGATTCTATTAACAATCGAAGAAATTGACATTTTTTGTGGCAGTTTTCCAGAATACCTTTCTTTCATTGTTACTATTAAAATGACAATGCAATTATATTTTTTACTGTAAATTATAAATAAACAATGAAAACGTAGTATATTGCACCTGTAAGCAAACATTTCACTTGTTCAAATTTACTCTCAAGTGTCATGTAATTGCTCACAATAAAGTACTCAATAATTAAAATTAATGCATGTGTGACTGACACGAAAATACTGGGGATATTTTGTCAAATTATACAATTTCGAAATTCTAAGTTGATCGTGTTTTTAAGGAAGGCCCACACTTTTACGGATCCGGTTCTAATTTTACACATCAATATAAAATTCTGATTTTCACTTTTCTATTGATATAAATCTTTTTGGTTGATTGAAAATGATTTAGCAAGTATATATTTGTTTATTATAGTGTTATTGTGCATATGAAGCATTTAATATACATTATTTATGAAATTTAACACTTTGCACTCTGTCCATAAGATCTATATGTCATTTAGTACATACACAGGGGTATTCATACACAGACACAAAATTCTTAATTGCTTTTATGGACCTAAATCTTTTTAATTTTCTTTTAAGCAAACTAACCTGAGATCTATTTTTATTGATTTAGAGCCTATATCATCCATTAAATTTTTAGTTTTTAAAAATTTTGCATTGAATAATTGAAAAAATTGATATTCCAAAAATGGGGGTATACTCTCAAAAGACTGTTTTGTTAAAATTCTCTGGTCAACCATAATAAAGTAGCTGTTTTTGTTAACATTAGATATAATTCTTAATAGTTTTAAAGAAAAAATGGCATCTAAACATATTGGATTTTGAGAATTATAAAAAATAAAGATATTTTGAGATTTTTTTCTGCAAGACATGGACAGATTCAACACCAATTTGTTAATTTTTTGCAGTAAAGATTTCAAAAATTCTCTTGGCAAATGAATATTTTTGATCTTCATAAGTTTTAACATAAATTTGATGTGATTTGGTGCATAACTAAGAGAAATATGATATCACACTTTTTTATGTTCAATTTTGGCTGTTGAGTTTTTAGAGGTATGTGCCTTGAGACATGTTGTATGAAAATTAACCTGCAAAGATATGTCTTTTATGGGTGTTTTAGTAAGTTTAAGACTTGTTCAAGGTATTCAAATTGAAAAATTTTCAGTTTGACAGAAAATTCTGAAAGTACGGACCTACCTTAAAAAAAAAACCCACTCTATTATCCTAATATTTAATAAAATAATATCGATCATTTTCAGATCCTTTACTTATTAATCCCAATTTTGTGAAATAAAGAATGTCAACTCCATTTGTAACTCTTCTCAGAAATAAAAAGATTTTACGAATGAAACCCAAACAACACAATGTAATGTTATCAGAGCCAATCAGGATTTGCAGGCTAAATACATTAATGGAGGATAATTTCCCTACGGACAACGAAGATCAAAATAGATCAAAAGTATCCCAATACATCGAAAAACACCAAATTAGATTAGAAGACGTTGAGCTAATACTCGAGAGGACTCGAATCCATCTGTTGTAGGAATGTGGATTAAACAAATCAACAGTGACACACGGCATACTCCTAGTTCACAGAATAGTACAGCACTGTGTGATCGTGTGGGAGCTGAGAGTCTCAGATAGGGTCCAAAATCACCCTTGACGTCATAATAGTAAATAGCGCAGAATGTCGTCCAATTTCTTGATTACAAGTTAATGAGCATAACGTATATCAAAAATAACCCTCACACTATGTTCCTGATGACATAGCTAGTTTTCTGTTAATTTGCTTAAGAGGCAAGAAAGACGAACAATTTTGTATAAGTATTTCGCACGTGTTTATATTCTTCACTTGGGATAGTCAAGATTCCATAACCCTCTAACCTATTGTATCTATTTTTACAGTCTGAAAACTGTTAGCGTACATTGTAAAATGTTTTTTTTAATATTATGATTTGGTTGTGCTTTTTCTTTATTATAACGGCCGAAGAATTGGTAAGAAAAGTAAACGCTAGTCAGGATTTAATTTAAAAGAGACTGCTGATTTTCTTGTTTCATCTTGTTTGTTTGAAAAGTTAAAGAATCATGTCCATCATAAAGCTTTGTTGTCAGATTATTATTAACATTTTACCCGGTAAAATAATTATCCAAATATGAAACAGATGGTATCTTTTATTTCAAGCTCACTGGGACATACCGTGTCGACATATATATGAATAGAATAACTATCTTTATTTGATAATATGTCGTCGATATGTCAACATGTCCAGTTGAAGGCCACAAAAAGTGTTTTTTCTTCTTCTCATATATAAGACTTTGAACAGGTTCTGCTTCATATACAAATACAAAAATAAGTCTTCTAATAACTGGACGTAATTGGTATAACCAAGGGAATTGTTGGAAGACTTGGTCTCCAATCACCATACAGATAGTGTCCACATTCCAAGCATCTTTTTAATATCAACTTCAGAGTACTATTTTTTTTTTTACCAAAATAATTTTGCAACTGACAGTCAGTTTACGTGTGCCATTTTTATTGAAAAGCACCTATCACCCTGGACTTTAATTTATCATGGGGAATTCTTGCCAGCACCTACTGCGACATGGGACCTAGACTTATATAGTTTTATCTGAAGGACCTGTCTTGAAGTCGTACAGTGGGATTCAAGCCCGCGATGTAAGGATCAACTCCTTTCTCAGCGACTCTAGAACAAATTTTCTACCCACTTCGTCACACGGGCAACCCTAACAATTGGTGTAAAACACGTCCGTACAAATACGTACAACTGACAGGTCATATTTGCTGAAAAGGTCATTACAACAACCATAGAATGGACAAAATACTGACTTTGACATAAATATAAGAACAAATCTAGACTAACCATCACATTCTCTAATTTCACAGCATCCTTTGAGTAGTATATTTTGCAATTAACTCTAACAAGGCTCAGACTTATTCTCTAATCCCCCCAGGCTTCGATGATCTCCATATTAGTTTTTGTTCCACCATCCATAATGATGCGCATCAATCATCCCACTATCCCTCTAAAGTTGTTACATGAACATCGTTAAAAAGGGCAGATTAAAGCCTCGTCGGTCATATTCCTTTGAAGGCGGGCATGGTAGAATACACACACTTACGATAAATATAAATGAACCATGGCCAAAACAGAGGTAAAGTACCCCAAGAACTAGAATTATCTCCGATGAATATTTAAAGGAAGCTTACATGAAAATGCTCTTGGGATGCGTAGGTCAACTTTTCACAATCTATAGTTCAAGAAGTCACACGCATCATGTTACAGACAATAGTGTTTACTTGTTAATTGTATTTGAGAAATCAGAATTTTGTTAATTAAGTTCGTATCGTTGACCTTCAGCGAAAATACGAGACTGATTATACTCTTTACAATTTCATTTCAAGTGACAATCTGTTTTATTTTTGATATATTTTTACTAATTTTCTTTTGGCTTAACTCTCCTCAGAACATAGGAATTGAATATTATGGAATACAATTTATTTCAAACATACTGAACCAAATGATAAAAATAGTAATTATCAAAGAACGTTAAAAGCATTCACAATTTAAAAAATGACATTTAGCGAAATTGCCGTTTGCATCAAATTGTCGTCTTAGTAAAAAAAGTGCACAAATTTAAGGCAAAATAAAAATCTAACAAAATTCATCGCGCTTCTTTATCAATCACCAGTAATGATTCATCTTTATAATTAAAAATGTGCGAGTGACACTGGGCCTTATTGATTGTCCATGTGCTGTCACGTTATGAAGAACAAAGGAGATTCGTCATTCGATGACTAACCGGGTACAGATTACCGTAAACTGCAAAACTTTTATACAAATTTCACAGTTTCTCTACAGGCCATTTATATTAACATCAAACTCCAAACCAACAACTGATTCACAACAGCGATTTCTATCGTTTGATTCTAGTTATTTGTCTTTTTTTTTAAATAAACATTTAAGATTTGATTTATCCCCTGTGTTTGATGAAAGGGAAACACTGCTTAAACAATAATTTCATTTGACCGACTACAGTTTTAATTTCATATGAACAATAACTAGTCACAAATTTCTCTCAGTCAACATGCAGCAATTTAACAAATCTCTCAGGACAATACCAAGCCAAAATATTTAATAAAATATTTCTTTCAAAGGATACACTAAATCTACAAGAATTTTCTTCTTTATATTTTATAATCAAAAGTGTGCGATTAAATAGCAAAAGCCTGAATTTTTGAGAAAACTCTCATGAAGAGGCCTTTTAGTCAAAGAGGCACAGACTTAGCGCTTGTGCTCATTCACTCTCTTTCAATCATTATGTTGAGTTCTTAAACGGCAACAGACACCCCTAACCTTGTCAAAAAATCAACATAGCAGCTTAATCCATTGTAGATATAAATCATTAGTGATTAAAAAGCGGGTTAAAGTGTCAGCTGAATGACTCTAAAGTGTCTATGTTCAGGCATTTAAACAAATTAAACACATCAAAACAGAAACCTTAATAGAAATGGACAACTTGAGAGTTTATTTACGAGTGAATAGGATCAAACTATACTTATGACACTAATTGATTCCTTTGGAAATTTCTACCTTCGGACAAAAATGTTTTCTATTTACTAATAGCTATAGGGACGATTCTTCTATTGCACTTATGTGCGAGGAGATGCACAGAGACTTGTTTTGTTAACAAAAGTTTGATGATAGAAGCAGAGGTAGGGGAGTGGCAATGAAAACAAATTAAACATTCATTAACTGCATGTCGACCCAAAATGATCAATGATCCTACATCTGACAAATAATATACATCTATATATTAATATAAAAGTCTGTTTTTAAAACGGTTTCCTATGATGAAGAAAGCTTGAAAACAAATTAAACATTCATTAACTGCATGTCAACCAAGGTACAAATGACCACACATCTGTTAAATACTATAGATAAATATGTTAATAATATTTGTCTTTAAAAATGATTTTTGAAGACAATGTTGAAGAAATTTCGAAAAACTCTAAACATTTTTCTATCACTATAAATGTTATATTAAAAATAAAATGAAAAAGTTCAATAGTATACTCTGCTAATTTGATTTTTAAAAAATCAGCTTCCATAGAAAGATTCCAGTTAACAAATCGGGCCTTACACAATATTACAGTAGCATATCTAAACACAAAAACGAACACCCACCTGCTACTTGACAGAGGAGCAGAGAGAGAATAACTAGCCAGGCATAATTTGTCCATCTCTCCTGAAACAGTTTGATTCCTTTCATCCGAGGAAAAATCCCAAATATTTCATTTGCATCCATCATTGTATTTGCTTTTTCTTAATTAGTTTTAAATAGATGATCTTAAGATCTTCATGATGAAAGGCTTGTGCTTATTGTTTTAGCAAAAATCCCAACTCTTCCTATATTGGTTACAAGTAGAGGTGTTAGCTCCTTTGGTCTTCACCTTACAGTTTTTTGTATTCAGCTGGGTGGTCAGGTATAGGAGCACTCGGTAATTCCTCTTAATTAGCCATTACAGACGAGCCCGTGTCTGTGGCGCTAATGAACTTCCAGTTTATTGGAGGTTCCATATATTCCACTGATGAGCTTCTTGGTCATTCAAGACACTAAATCTGGAGATTCTGAGGTCACAGTCAAATAGGTTATAATGTTCACGGTCCTAACGTTAATGAATCCAGCTTAGAAAAGGAACCACGCTCTTATGTTGACTTTGTTAGAATCTGGCTTCTTGATCTTGTTTCACTAAAAATAATAATATTTAAATTAATTAGAAATATGCTATAATTTCACGATGAGGCTGCAGACTTTACCAAGGATAAACTAAATATTTTTTTTAATTTGCAAATGATCAGAAAACTATTTGTGGACCACACCTGCAGCTTTTTTTAACAAAGACAAGATACTTCAAAACTTGAGTTAAAAAAATAAAATTAATGCACAGACAGTTGTAGAAATAGTGGTCTTGGTGACAAATGATATTTACCGTGACAGTCAGCCTTAACTCCTTGTTTTCCAGTCACCACTATATAGACTGAGGGAGATCTGTTTTGTATCAGACCTTTCTACATCCCTCCTCTACGATCCCGCAGCTGAATCTGGTACGCGCGCGGCGCTAATTATAGACCGATATTTAAAACTATCCTGCACAGGAATCGCTAGTATAGTCCTTATTTTTAAAGCAGTTCTTTATTTTTCTCGCTTTTTAGTATCAATAAAATTTCACAATAGCTTATGATAAGACGAGCAGTTGAAAATAACCGAAACAGAATTTATTTCAAGATTTAAAAGATAAAACTCTTATATGGCTTCGGTTTTTTATTTTCGTTTTGAATATTTTATGGGGGATTTACAATATACCAATAAAATATACGAATGTCCAAAGCTCTGTTTAATTGTGTTGATTCAAAATATTGGCTTTATAGAGAAAACGTGTTTGTTTTTCGTAGGTGTTTGCTGAAAGGTATGTAAAATGCTTGATTCAATAATGTCATTCTATCTTAAATTCTGTCAACAATCCAACTTAAAGGAGCTGTAAATTTTGTTATTGAAAGAAACTGTGCTTTAATTCTGCCAACTGGTTACTCTCTTTTTACATTGTCATTGTCACAATCCAAGTCACCTGAAATTCTCAAGTGTTTCTATATAAAAAGCATAAGGTGCATCCATTCATCACAGTGAATGCAGTTGATTTAATCCTTCTCTTGAGCAACTTCAACTGAATAACAGTGATTATAATTTCAAAAAAGTATTACTAATACTTGTGTGTAGTTAATACAGCCAGTTTTTACCACAGCGATATCCAGTAAATCGGGTTATTTATTTTTTAAAGGAATATTTTAGGAAAAAAAATTCTGCAAAAAGAACTAACTAGCAAATATATTTTTTTGTAATTTTAATGAATTAAAAAGCATTCTTTACTAAAAATGGGCAACACGCATTAACATTGGAAAATTTCCTATCGATTTTTCTAACAAGCAAGAATTTGCTGTTGGTTTGTTAATTAAGAAATAAAGCAGTAATTTTCATTGTGTTCATTTTCCCCATTCCCAACAAATGATACCACAAAGTTTGTAACATTGTCTGGATTTTTCGCCATCTGTCGTGATAAAGCGACAAGAAGCAACTGAATTTTTAAATGCGCTCAAGTTCAGAAAATAGAGGGTTATATTTTTCATCGTTGATTCAGCGACTTTTTCTGTAGCTAGAAAAAATATATTCAAGCAAGTGATTATAAAGCAAACTTTTCTTTCATTAAATTAACCAGTAAAAATTAAAAAAAAGACAACAAATGAACAGACGAACAGACATATAAGAAATAAATGGGTACCTTAGATGGTTCTTGTGGATTTTCTATTAAATATAAGTAAAGCATTTTTTAATATCATTTCAAAATTTTTAGTACACCCATATTGATTAACAGGTTAGCCCTCCTAGATTATCATTTTCCGTTCACAGTTTCGCTATAATGGAATTTAAAGTGAGAAAAGGTTGTATAGAATAAAAAGGACTGTTGCTAAAAAGTAGAATTAAGAACATCATAAAAACAATTCTGCGATTTCTGTAATCAAAATAAGTTTAAAAATTTATATCAATCCAAGTATCTTTTTTTTAAAAATATCATTTGTTCTAAACAATATTCTTTTATTCTAACGTCGACTCCATATATCCATTTGAACTCAAAACCAGAAAGTTTCTCACATTTGTTTTTTATCTTAATTATATACAACTGACTATAGATGAAGCCAACGCTAATAAGTAAACTACTTAACTTAAACCAAGATACTTAAAAATAGATTGATGTTAAAGGGCTTTCAGGTACAATGAAGCGCATTGAAGTGGTAAAATTTTCCGTTTGGATGAAACGTTCTGAGTCATGTTTTGAACGTCAATTATAACATTATGACACGCCCATTTCTTCAGAAACGAAAAGAAACATTCGTCGTAATTTTTTAGGACACCCCACTCTTTGCGACAAGCAATTTGAGTTTCACTGAAATGGAGATTTTTTAAAGTAATAAAAATGAGTTAGAGAGTTCCCGCTTCTGTAAAACACGTAATTACGAGTTTGTATATAATTATGAATTTATCATGATTATTGGAGTTACCATAACACAAGTATTTAATTTGCAGTTTTGATCTCTTTGAATGAATTATCCCCATTTCTTTAGAAAAGAAAAATCGGCCAAATGGTTCCTGTAGAACAGGTATTCCATAAATATAACAGCCAATCAAATTGACGGTCTACATAAACACCGAGTAAGCACGTGTTCGACCGATACATGTGTTATGGTAACTCCAATAAACATGATTAATTCATAATTATTGACAAATCCGTTGAAATACATGTATTACAGAAGCGGGAACTCTCTAACTCTTTCTTATAACTTTAAAAATATAAATTTATAAAAGTCCTTAAACATTCTATTTCGTTATCATTTCCACAGAAATGGGCGTGTCATCATGTCATAATTGACGTTCGAAGCATGACTCAGAACGTTTATCCAATAAAATTTTATACTTCAATGCGCTTAGTTATGGGAACACGTGCTTACTCGGTGTTTAAGTAGACCGTCAATTTGATTGGCTGTTATATTTATGGAATACCTGTTCTACAGGTATTCTAATTTGACCAATAGAAATAGGCGTGTCATTGTATGACAAATCGTTCTAAAGATAATCAAAACGTTCCAGTCAAACAAAATTTTACCACTTCAATGCGCTTCATTGTATCTCGTTTAAAGTCACTACACGTATTTCCCGTATTTTAATTGAAAGACTATTGCTTTAACACTGCTTACTCCGTTTACACCATCAATACTAAGGTACACCCGTGTGACAGGTCGGCAGGGGATAATTGTATTTTTAAAAAAAACTGGGATTTATTTTTACTAGTGGTAATCCAACTTATACCCATAGCTCCCTTTCTATGACGGAATTTTTTTTCAAAATCATATGTCACTTTTAATTATTTTAATATTCCCAACAATTAATATGAATTCGAATTACCATACATGCATATCAAATTGGATTACAAAACTTTTAAAAAAAAATCTTTACGAACAAAGATACATTTATAGCAGGTTCCAGTAAATGTTCTATCAAGCGGCTATGTTTACTCCTCAAACATATTTACAGAAAGGAGAAACTTCAAGAGTATCCAAAATCTGACATGTGAAAAAAGAAAACATTTGTTGTGGCTTTCAGTTAACTCGACATTTAGATATATCAACGACGAATTGTAAATAATCAATGGCTATTCCATTAAAATTCTTATGTCGATATACATTTATCAGAGTCTGACACATCTGTTTCAAAATTGGATATCTACTTGAAAAAGATATAAAAGGTTATATTTATATCTTTTATTTTATATCTTATATTTACATAGCTTTTCGATTGTCATCTTCCCATATTAATGCAGCAATATAATTTCATCACCTGCATATGGGGTTTATATACCTCAGTTGATTTGATACGCAAGAGTATGCTCTACGCATGAACAGTTTCTAAAACGAGATGTGTTAAAGACATGTTAATGAAACAAGAAAATCAGCGGTTTCGTTTAAACATTTCGCAAGTTCTAGTCGATACAATGACCTTGTTAGCTTTACAATTTATCATTAATTCATATGCTCTCTGACATTTTTCATTCTAATTGTTAGGCAATTATTTACACACTGAATTGTCGATTGATTTATACGTTATTTCCCGATCATGACAAGGAGCACATGGTATGTATCGGGATGCTCAATCCTCCATGGCACCTGATATGTCGATCCCACCTCGATGTTTTGGAGGTTCGTGATTGCTCTGCTCCTATTTTGTACTGTTTAGTGGACTTTTGAGCTTGAATACTGTTCGGTATCTCCATCTATTGCATTACATGTACTCCTTTTGGCACAGGTTCCTATTTTTTCGCGAACTCTATGGTATCGTTTATTTCTAGTTTACTGGGATATATCAAGTCGATATAAGAACAGAAATAACTATTGTTAATTGATAATACGTCATTGAAATATCTACATTTTAAATGCATGTTCATTATAGATCCATCGCAGCCCAATCTTAACACCAAAGCACATATACCTGACCCGTGCAGGTGTCATGAAATTCAAAATTTTAATTTGGAAAAGGCACATTTGATCACATGACAGTATGCATGCACTTAGTTTACCGGCTTTATACCCAGGAGAACTAAAGAATATTTCCTGGGAATTAATACATTAAACTTGATAGTCATTAGACCAGAACTCCTGAGCACGGGGGCAATAAAATTTCAAAAGACATCATTGTTCATAATAACTCTGCACTAATTATGTTCCCCAAACGAAGTTGGGAAACATATTGTTTTTACTCTGTTTCTTATTATTATTATTATTATTTTTTTTTTCTTCTTCTTCTTCTTCTTCTTCTTCTTCCTGGAACTTTTTTGTCCGGGAGTGATTTTGTAATATACACATCCAACTTAGGTAAAACCTTTTTAAGGTTAGTAGGCATGTTATGTAGATTTGCGGAACGAAGGTCATTTTGCGCGCACGTGCTTGCAAGAGCGTGCACGTTCAACACGTGAAATGACCGATTTTATTGATATAGGCGTAACTTTTAAATTTTTTTATGAAATGCTTTGAAACTTACAATATAAGGATATATTAGTAGCATAGACATTATGACATGGTCAAAAAAGCAAGATCTCACGCGCATGCACGTGCGCTTCGCTCTGATTGGCTGAAACTAAAGTCTCAATATCTTTCTTGTTTTCCGACGAAATCCCTTGAAATTTTAAACATAGCCATGCATTAGAATATCCTACAACCTGATATATAGGAATTATCATGAAAACACGTGCATGCACGTGTACTGCAATCTGATTGGCTCAAACTTTAAATAGCTATAACTCCCTTGGTTTTCAACCAAACAGGATGGGATTTGGAACATAGATAGATATAATGGACTACTACAGGAAGGTATGGTCACCATGCACATGCAAACACGTGCGTGTACGTGCTCTGCAATTTGAATGGTTGAAATTTTAAACAGCTATAACTCCCGTGGTGTTCAACCAAATGGGGTAATATTTAGAATATAAATAGATGTAATGGACTTCTACAAGAAGGTATGGTCACCATGCTCATGTATGCACGTGTGTGCACGTGAAATGAGCAAAATCAAAAATACACATGAATGAGCGTATTTTTTTTGATACTTTTGGATTAAATACTTTAATATTTAGTATATCAAAATATATAGATTGTGTAGACAAAATGATATGGTCATTACGCACATGCATTCACATGCGCATGCGTGCAATGCTAAAATTTGAATGAACTTGGTACACTTCTGGGTAAACGTTGTTAAAGTCTCAAATGCGTAGAGTGTGTCTTATTTATTGAAGCTTACAGGGAATATGGCGCCAAAAGGGAGTTGGGGAGCGTTTGGGGAACATCTGTAACGGTCCCCGTTAAAATTAGCACTAGTTTTATTTGCTAAATACACAGGAGCAAAAAACGTCTTTATTTCAAATAACTGTTGCATTTTCACTATATATAATCAATACAGTCTCGTCCTGACATCGGAACCCCCCTACAAAAGGGGCCATGAAGTGCACAATTATGGAAGATGCATCATTACCATGTACCTAGTTTATCTGCTAATGTAAGTACAAAAGGGTGGTATTTTAAAGAATTTATTCATTTTAACTATTTGATCATTATAGCCCTGCCTTAACTTCAGACCTCATAGCTCCAGGGGCATAAAACTAAGTCTCACCTACACAAATGAATTATAGTG